CTGTGGATGAAATCAGGTGAGGGGGGAACAGTACTTATTGGTGTCTGGTTCTCATTTGATATTCTTTATTCCAGAAGCCATGACATAGTCGTAGGCAAAGGCAGGGACTTTAAGCAGCTTCTGACCCAGGGAGCAGTTTGGGTGGCATGAGGTGCTGTGTTGTCAGGGTCAACTTACTGGGAAAGTTGACCTGGAGAGACCTGTTACAGAATGTATTTGTTTTGCCAGATTGAGAGAATTGAGTGTTTATAACAGCTTTTGGTTAAAATTCCATCTTTGTTGCAGAGAGATTATTGTCTGAGGAAATGAGTACTTGAGGGAGAAGAGGTAGGTGCCGGCGAGGAGAGAAGTATTTTAATTTTAGTTCCTTACATTTATTCAAGGTCTTATTCAGTGCTTTGGATTTTAAGTCTGATTTTTCTCAAAAAACCAAACCAAACCAAACCCTGAAGCCTGTCTTGGAGGCTTAGCGTGGCAGTGTTGGTGTAGAAGCGTTCCACATTCCATGATGGAAGGATTCATTAGGCAGAGGACACTGTTTTTTATTCTGCTCCTCTCATTGTTGCAGTGATTCAGAGGGACTGATTGCAAACCACTGCTCTTGCATCCTGTGGTCTGGTGTCCTAGAGGCGAATGTGTTCTTGTGATGCAGGAAAATGGACATGTGTGTACAGCTGCCATTTGCCTTAGTGAGTTAATATTGCTCCTAGTGGCCATGGGGAGCCAGCTAGTTGCTCTCCTAGAATTTCCAGTGTGGAGGCCTCCCTTACCCCCTTCCCTCACCCCCCTCTCCAGTGCTGCATACCCCAGTGTTGTGAAAGATGCAAGCTCATCCGATGCTTGAAGATAATGATCTATCCTACCTACTTGTACAGTGTCTCTAGTGAAAGCGTCAATTATAGGTCTAATATCACTGAGTCTAGAACAGTTTTTCCCCAATCGAGTTGAGCATCCAAATTACCTGAGGAGTTTAAAAAAAAAAAAAATTTCCGAGCCCCACTTCTGATTACAGAATCAGAGTACCTGTCTGCTCCAAGAGGACTCTCCTAGGCTGACAGAATTGGCGACATCGCCTCATGAAATCATCTTTGGGTCCTACGTGGGGGTGAGAGTGAGTGGGAGTGCGTGTAACTTGAAGATAGAGGAACTTTTTCTAACCACTTCAATTGGGTGGGTTGTGGTAGGGAAATAGCTAAAGAAAATCTAGGAGCAACCACATTTTAGTGTCATGGGCATTGCTTGCTAACCTTTGTTCCTTTGAAGTTTTTTTTCGGTTTGGTCCAGAGATTTCTAACCTGGAATTTTCCTAACTTGAAGGATTAGAGAAGGTAGTGGAGATCATGTATATGTGCGTGTGTGTGTGTGTGTGTACACACAGCGCTTTGTTGAAATATCACTCATTCTTTTCAGTTTACCCACTTGGAGTGTACGGTTGAATAGTTTTGATATGTTCAGGTTGTGGAGCCATCATGACGATAGATTTAGAAGATTTCCTCTCCCCAGAGGAAACCCCATATTTGTTATAAGTTATTTTTAATATGCAAAGAAGCCTAATATTCATAATAAAGCTATACAGGCTAATATCAAGGTTTTTTGATTCAGGCTAGAATTATAGCAGATAGAGGTAGCTCCTTCTTAGCTTTGAGAGTTACTTTATTTTTAAAGGGAAAATGGATTAATAACCTTGTTTTTTAGATATGGCCTTTCAGTGAGATGGCAACAAGGTCATGCATCTCTGCACTGTTGTGTCCTCACTGTTTGACTTGATGTCACATGATGACTGGTGACCAGCAATGGAAGCCATGTTTCAGTGACTTACGTCTTTTTTTTTTTTTTTTAAGATTTTATTTATTTTAGAGAGAGCACACGAGCAGGGGGAGGGGCAGAGGAAGAGAATCTTCAAGCAGACTCCCTGCTGAGCATGGAGCCCAATGTGGGGCTTGATCTCACGACCCTGAGATCATGAGCTGACCTGAAATCAAGAGTTGGATGCATAACTGAGCCACCTAGGTGCCCCCAGTGACGACTTCTGGATCCAGCAAGCAAATATTAGTAAACTAATATTCCTGCTCAGTGGGTAGATGTGCTTTATTCTTGAGATGGGAGTCCTTACAACTTTTCCCATATATGTGTAACCCTTCCTCCTCTTTCTGTACGATCCAGTTTAGGCTGGTGCACAGCTAATTCACCTTCACTGAAGCTCTTTTGAACTAAGTCGTCTTAAGTGGCTTGTCCAAGGACTGCTGTCAGTGTAGCCTAGATTTACTGATGTCACTTGTCCTCAAGATAGCCTGTAGCCCAATCTGAGCTTTGGAAGTTTAGATTTGGGAATTGGAGCTGTGAGATTCCAGCAGACCCAAGGAAGGCAAGTCCCTGATTTACCTGTGGGTCATCTTGGGGAAGAGAAGATGCTGGAGCACACAGAACCCAGCATCATGTCAGGGGCAGCTTGCTCCCCATTCAGCATGACTTCCAGGTGTTAGATCCTTCTGTGAATATCAGGAAAACAGTGACCTAGTACTAATTTTAATTACCGCCCAGCTATAGTTCTTGTTTCTAAAATTACTACTCTGTAGGTTTCCAGAACCTCTTTACCCTTGACCCCTGTCTCTGTCATCTGGGAGCTGTACCCATGGACCACCCAGCTATCACACACCCAGACCCGTGACTCCAGGAAGACCTTCATTTCACAGCTAATATCTGGGAATTTTTGGAATCAAGTGCTTTATCTACTTAATCTTCAAATAAGAGGTTGCATGTTCTCACTGCCATAATTAAAAAAAAAAAAAAAGACAAAACCAAAGACAAGCACACAAGAAGAAGCACAACACCCACAAAAACCCCCACGATCGAAAATAAACTACTTACCCACCATTGCCGAAGCCGTTGTGTTCTACAACGGAAGGGGTGCTGTGGGTGGTTCCCCCTTGGTGGGCTACATGGTTGGTGGACTTTGAAAGCCTTGGCTCCTCTTTTCTCCCTTTCCTGTTACATGGATCGGGCTGCTTTCCTTGGTTGTTGGCACTTCACCCAAAGGTGGAAGGAATTGAATTCAAAGGCTGACTGTCATTTTCAGGGAGAACCGGGAACCAGTGGCAGTTTGGGATTATCTGATTATCATTATTTCTACTTGGATTCATCAAAAGGTGATTTGCTTTGACATGAAAAAGGGCTCTTGTATAGTCCAGCATGACTTTGACAGTTGGATTCCCCGCCTCATCTACCTCACTTCAGGATTCTCAAGCCTCAGTGTGCGAAAGATCCAGCCATGGAGACGCCGGGGCCCTGCTCCTGTTTCCTGTGGAAACAACGGATATGGGCTAGGATTTTGCATTTAGCAAACTGTCCCCAGGTCCTTCTGATTCAAATTAATAACTAGCAGCCAATGGTGAGAAGCTGTCCAGGAGTTTGCACTTCACTGTTCAGGTACTAGCCCAGCCTGTGGTTAAATACTTGGCAATTAACAAGGTCTAATGATAGCATGTGTGGTTTCCAAGGTAACACGGGTCACTCCTGCCCAGGCTGGGAAGATTGAAAAGGACCCCAGTGAGGCTGCAGTAATGGTGTGGCCTCTAGATTAATGTCATCGAAGTGCTTTATGATTGACTGGGTTTTTGCGCCATTCATCCCAAGCCCTGTTTAATGACAACAGCAAAAATGAAAGTAAACAACGTTAGAATAGAAGCCAGAAAGTTGCTGGATGACTTCTGGAGCCAGGGATGAGGGCATGAGGAGGGGTGAGGATAGCCATTCGGTTGCTTGTATTTTTCCGCCTTTATCAGTTTAGTCCAGAATAAGGTGGTGGAGGAACAGGAGATGACCTTGAAAGGCTTTTGAAAACTAATGGCCAGCTATGATAAACATTGGAGTGCTATTCCTTAGTGTTCAAATGGATCGTACTGTTAAAGTTCATCTGTTCTCACTTTGTCAGGTGAGGCTCGAAGTGACATTTATTGAGTGCTTACTGTGTGCTGGGAACTTGCACCTAGATTTTCTTGCCCTTTTGACCCGAATGCAAAGGTTCCACACTCTGTAATTTTCCAGTTTTTAAGGGTGGAAAAGTTAGAGTCTATATCATATTTTAGCACAGGATTCTACTTTTTGGTTTTAGTTTTGGAACCTGTAGCGCAATGGGAAAAGCAGTCAACTGAGGGCAGGTTTTCTAACCTCTTTGAGTGAGGTTCCATTGCACCTCTGGAACATGAGGGACTTAGCCTGGATCAACAGTCTTAACTTTTGAAGGGTGACAACCCCTTGCAGAATCCGGTGAGAGCTAGGAACTATCTTCCCTGAAAAAAAGTGCATATGTATTTTTTTTTTTTTTTTTTAAATTACACTCACTCTCCGGGGGACCAGAGATGACCCCAGGGAGGTGATTTCTTAAGACTTTGCCAGCTTCAGCTCAGAATTGCTGGGTCCTACAAGGACCTTGGAGGTGGGGGAAGGGAGCTTTTTTCATTGTTTAGAGTGGCTTCCTGCAGAATGAGGTATTTGAAGAGGGAGGTTTTTGTTGTTCCTGGCATTTTTTACTAACTGCCCTGTGCGTGCATTTAGGAAGGAAAAAAAAAACCATGCTGAGAAAAATAGGGAATGAATGGCATCTGGAATATGAACTGTTTTCCTTATCATTCTTTACTATTGTGGCCCTTCAAAAGGAGGCGGATGGTATAATTATAACATGAATAGCACTTATAGGAATCCGTGCGGCCTACAGATCCTCTCTTTTGCACCGTGAAACTTGTTCTACTTTTAACATTTGGGAAGTTGGGATAAAATTTAAAGTTTTGGTTAACATGAGAGCATTAGAAGGTTCTAGGGACTATATCATGAGTGGAAATAACATGTTCTTTACCACTTCTTAGCTTCTAATTCCAAACACCTTCCTAACTCAACCCCAATGGCCCGTGGCCAAAAAGTTGTAATCTCATCAGGAGGAAATATCTGTAGCATTTATTTGGAAACCTAAATACTTAATTTTTTGTTTTCCATTCTCTGCTTAGGTGTTGAAAAATCTCTAGAGCTTCGGAAAGCTGAATGGACTAAACATGAAGAGCTTGAAAGCCAAGTTCAGGAAGAGCGATGTAAGTGTGCCGTGACTCACCTTCTGTCTGCTCCACTCTCCCTCTCCTGGGGCAGCAGGATCGCTCTCCCCTCCCACCGTGATAAGGCCCTGGGTTAATCAACTACAGGAACCAGAAGCACTCTGAGCCTCGGCTCAGGGTGGCTTTTGTGAATGGCATGCTCTAGGTTCTTTGCTGTTTGTGTGAATAGCTTTTGAAAATGACTTCTTTAGTCCTGGGTCTGTGCCTTGTAGAGAAAGAAACAGTCAAATCAAACATCTTAAAAGAATGGGTAAAAACCTAAGCATTTCTTAAGTCCCCCGAACCTGATTCAGAATGTCATTTTTGGAGGAAGCTAGTCTCGTGAGAGTAGTTAAGGAATGACGTATTAGCTTGGTTCATCTTTGGCTTTAGGAAACTTTTTTTTTTTTAAACTCTGTTAAGGCTTTTGTGGTAAAACAGTATCTCTTGCTGCCTGCACCTTGACTCCCCCTGAATTCCTGGGGTTCTTACTCATTTGTTATCCATCATACAAGATTTTGGATTGGAGGAACCAGTTACGATGTCGGGATTATGAAACAAAGTCTGCCAGAGGAGAAACTGGAGAAAAATAGCATAGCAGGATTATACACATGGTATCTGAGCACAAGGTCACCTCCTAAACCCTGCTGGGACTCTAGTCTTGTACCAGCTGCACTCCAGATGCTTTGGGCAGAATTGTTGAATGGGAGAAATTCATGGCAGGATATCAGATGGAAGCCCAGATATGTCAACCCTCATCCAGGGCTTGCTTGGCTCTCCTTTAAAGTGAGGTAATTAAAGGTGAACCTGGATTTTATTGTTTTGCCATGAATTATATGACAGGTTGACACACCCCGTTTTTAAAATAAATGGAGGCTGCGTCTTTTATGGCTAACATGCCGTATGGTGCACACCTCCTTTTGGCTGAAGCTTATCTTTTGAGGCTGCATCATGACATGTAACGTACTGCCCTGATAAGGCCCAGACTAGTTGAGATGCTTGTGGGATGGTTGCAAATTTTTTCTCGCTTAGAGGTTAGAGCTAGAAAGGGTTATTAACAAAAAGTTGAGTTTTTACCTTCTCATTCTTGAGGTAAGTTAGGTGGAACTCAGAAAATGTGAAGTGACTTGGCCAGCCGCATCCAGTTTGCCTTTGGCCACTGAGAGCCCTGGTCATCTGACTTCCTTAGCCCCTTGCCCCGGCTGGTCCCCTGAGAAACCCCCTTCAGCCTCCCCATCTGCTGGCCTACGAAACCCAAGCCAGCAGATCACCTGTGACTTTCAGTGAAGAACGAAAAGTCAAGTGGATGGAGAGCGGATATGCGTTTGTACGCCGTGTGACCAGGTTAACAAATGTCTTTTCCATTCTAAGGGAATTTGGGTAGCTTCCATTTATACAAGCTGAGATTATTTTAGCAAAATTTAATCAGTCTAGAGTTCCGGGATACATGAACAGGGGCAGGGGGGAAATGACAGACACATAAACTTTTGGTTTAAAAAATTAAAAACTGGCAGCAGGAGGGAGGGTTGCTGGAATCTAGGTTTTTAAATAAAAATGGAACTATTTCCGTGATTTAAAAAAAAAACAATAATAACACTTAAAAGCTGCTGGGATTTGGCAGCTGGAAGACTGTGCTTTTGGAAGTTGGTGCTAAGAGTAGAAATGTTAGAGGAGCAGCTTGGGCACCTGGAGCAAAGGATATTGTTATCACAGGGCCAGACAGTATCAAATGTCTTTTGATATTTGATCAAAATATCAAATTTTGGATCTGTTTGTCAGTTTGTTTGTCAGCCATGTGATAATAACTAACCATGAGGAAGGATTTACTCTACGTCAGGTACTATGCAAAACTCATCGTGTGCAATTCATTAAATCTTACCAGAAAACTTACGTGGTAGGTATTACCATTAGACCCATTTTACAGATGGAGAAACAGAGACCTAGGGAGGTATGGAAACTTGTCTGGGTCCTCAGAGCTCTACTTTGTACCATCCGTTTTTCTGCCATGACAGCCCAATTCCAGAGCACAGGTCTCCTAAAAGAAAATTTGGTTTGAGATTTGACTCTGGAAACCGTTGAATCCAGGCAGGAGCTTGGAAGGGTGACTTTGGATCTAGGATGGTGACCTTGGACAAGTGTCTGACCTTCCTGACCCTCAGGTTCCTCACCTGAGAAGTGAAGAAAATCATGTGAATCTTACGAAGTTGTCATGGAGGTTAAACGTGCTGATGTATGTAAAACACAGCTTACGGGGCGCCTGGGTGGCTCAGTCGTTAAGTGTCTGCCTTCGGCTTGGGTCATTGTCCCAGGGTCCTGGGATCAAGCTCTGCACTGGGCTCTCTGCTAGGCAGGAAGCCTGCTTCTCCCTTTCCCGTTCCCCTGCTTGTGTTCCCTCTCTCGCTCTCTGTCAAATAAATAAAATCTTATAAAAATAAAACACCCAGCTTAGGGCCTGGCATTCCCGGAGATGCTTGGTAAATATTGATTCCTTTCTCTTAATCTGAAACCCCTGGTAAAAAATAGGGTTTGAAAAGTGTCTATGGTCTGGAAGGCAAAATAATCTGGTAACGGTTGCTGCCTCTGAGGAGGGAAGCTGGGGTGGGTGGAGGAGGTAGGCTTCCTTTTCAATGTGTGTCTTTTGGTTTGAATTTTTTGGTAATGTATGTGTAGATACATGTCACTTATTATGTGAAAAACAAGTTTTAAAAGGTTTATATTTAGTTAAATGAGCCGAACTGGAATCTTCTTTACCTGCAGTGAGTGGTCTCTCTGAAATAACGATCCTAAACCATCGGCCATCAAATTTTCCTGCTTGTCTTTGTGTGAGGCTGAAGGGAGCAGAGGGAAGAAAGGGTTCTTTGTATTTCTGGGAGGTAGGAAAGAAGGGGGACAGCAGATCATGTTTGTGCTTTCATAAAGAGAAGGCAGGTGACCCACTGGTATGATCGCATTTCAGCCAGCCTGGTCCTGGGAGGTCTGCAGCCAGATCAGTTTGAGACCATTGAGAGCAAAACCCAGGCGTGAGAAAGGACAAGAGTGACCCAAAGGAGGCCCCCGGGGACGGCCTTCAGGTCACTATGCTACTCCAGGACCATCGTGCGGATAGAGATTTAATCCAAGTGTCCTTCCTGGACCACTTCACTCAGATGGCTACCAAGTCAAGAGCAGGTTTATGTGAGTATAACAGGGGGATGAGCCCACTTCTCTGGGCTGTGGTTAGATACTATCATTGTCCAGTTGCTTTAATCCCCATGCATACTTGGGAGCCTGTAATAACCCACAGAGACCAGGGAGAATTATGGAGCTAAACACTTGCTCATCAGTGAATGATGTTTTTCATTTGACATGTATAACTTTATTTTGGGCATCCTTAAAGTTGGGTTAGATACTAGAGAGCATAGAGAAGAAATGTGAGGTATGATTCTTGTCTTGAAAAAGCTCACAAACCAAGATGTGAGGAGAAAAATTACATGCAGGAAATAACCAAGGCAAAATACAAACCATATATAATATAGAGAGTAAAGGGGGCCTTCCGTAATGACGATACAACCAGTTGTTAAATTGTAGGGTCTGGATGATTAAAGCTATCAGTTTTCAGAGGGGTTGAGTCAGTGGAAATGGGGGAAATTGGGGGAGCTTCACAGAGGTGGAGCTTCTTCCTGGGCCTGGAGGATTTGGAACACTGATTGGGAGCGCAGGGGAGGGTAATGCTGGGGAGCCAGCCACGGAGAACTGTGGGAAGGCTCCATTTCAAAAACTTGCCCTTGACATGCAAAACAGTCATACTTCAAGAGCCCATGGCATGGCTGAGTCTTTTAATAAAAACACTATAAATTTTCACTCTCGTTTTTAAAAATGGATATGCTTGACTTATGCTTATAAGATGAGCACAGTTTTAAATCCTCATTATTTCTATCTTTTATGACTAGAGTTTGAAAGTGGCTTCTTTACCTCTTTAAATTTTTGCAGCAACTAGTACGTGGTTCCACATGGAAAAGTGAGCTGTCATCATGAGAAATGAGGCCAAGAAGGTTGGGATTTCCCTTTGTTAATAAAATGCTCAGGCTTCTGGAATTTCTTTGTAAATGCCAATTTTTAGTGCCTTGAGTGAAATGGGTGGAGGCTGAGGGATGGGAAATGGGGTTGAAAGATCTTTGTAACAAATCTTGAGAAATGCCTCTCCAACATGATTGAGGCCTTCAAAGTTTACATTGTGGGTGTGTGTTTAATTTTATGAAAGATTTGTTCCCAATTATGTTTTTCACTGTAATAGGGAAGCAGCGGACATTCCATTAAAAAAAAAAAAAAATCAAGGCAGCCAGTTCAAAATGGCTGGCTCCATGAGATATTAAATTGGTGGTATTTTTTTTTAGGTAGCAGCTACTGAGGATTGCAGCTTTCAGCCAAAGAAATGCACACACACCGTGAATCTTGAGGAACCAGACACATCCTGCTCAGACAGGAGTTTGAATTTGTTGCCCGTTGAGAGAACTGTTCCTCTGAAGGTTGATAATCCACATCTCTGCCAAGGTTCCCCCCCCCCCCCGCCAAGGAGTTTTTGGTCATTTATAATAAGGTGTTACGGATGCCCGAGTCTCCCTCCCCCACCACACACACACAGAATGGGAATATTTAAAATCCAAGTCTCTCTGTTGACAGAAGAACCTTGGCCAAATCTGTTGTAAAGCTAAGCCTCTTTTTTTAGTAGACATAATGTCAAAATACATCAGAGATGACCTTTTTGGGTGGAGGTATGAGACTCTGGTAAACTTCTGGAAGAGAAATTCGGTCAAGTTTGTGTCCTACATATTTTCCAGGTCTTGTCAGCCCTTCTGAGTGGGGAATCTGCCTGCTGCCCCATTTCACCTTGTTTCCTAGGTTTGTCATAAACTGAACAACTGAAACATACTGCCTCCCAGTTCTGGAGGCTACAAGTTTGAGCTCAGGGTGTCAGCGGGGCTGGTTCCTGGGAGGGCTGTGAAGGCAAATCTGTTCCAAGC